TGTCCATCTTGTTTTGATTTTGTTTTTAAGAAAACGTCCTATTGAAAAGGCAGCTGACTTCCCTGTCTGGAGAAAACCTGGCTCAAGGCTGGTACTCGGGCAGTGAAATATGTGAAAACATGGATTCTGATGGAGGGAGCAGTTTGGCCCTAGGTACAAAGAACGATACAGAATCCATAGCTTAGGGAAAGGAAAGGGGTTTTTATCATTATAATGATGATGATGATGAAGATAGGTAGGTAGATAGATAGCTAGACAGACAGACAGACATAGATGGATGAGTAGAGGGAGAAAGCGATAGATGGATATGTTGATGAGTGAATAAACAGATGAGAGAGATCAACAGATAGAAATACAGACAGATGCTCTGTGCAAGAATCTCCTTGTTTTTATGGGGCTGGCGCTGTGGCGCAGCGGGTTAATACCCTGGCCTAAAGCCCGGCATCCCATTTGGGCGCCAGTTCTTGTCCCGGCTGCCCCACTTCTGATCCAGCTCTCTGCTATGGCCTGGGAAAGCAGTAGAAGATGGCCTAAGTCCTTGGGCCCCTGCACCCGCATGGGAGACACGGAAGAAGCTCCTGGCTCCTGGCTTCGGATCAGTGGATCAGCACAGCTCCAGCCCTTGCGGCCATCTGGGGAGTGAACCATCAGATCTCTCTGCCTCACCTCTCTCTCTCTGTACCTCTGACTTTCAAATAAATAAACCTTTAAAAAAAAGAATCTCCTTGTTTTTAGGTAGATCAGATGATTAATGAGCCAACCCAATTCTTTTTTTTTAACTTTTATTTAATGAATATAAATTTCCAAAGTACAGCTTATGGATTACAATGGCTTCCTCCTATAACTTCCCTCCCACCCGCAACCCTCCCCTTTCTCGCTCCCTCTCCCCTTCCATTTACATCAAGATTTATTTTCAATTCTCTTTATATACAGAATATCAGTTTAGTATATATTTAGTAAAGATTTAAACAGTTTGCACCCACACAGAAACACAGAGTGTAAAATGCTGTTTGAGTACTAGCTATAGCATTAAATCACAATGTACAGCAAATTAAGGACAGAGATCCTATATGAGGAGGAAGTGCACAGTGACTCCTGTGTTGACTTAACAAATTGACACTCTTGTTTATGGCGTCAGTAATCACCATAGGCTCTGGTCATGAGTTGCCAAGGCTATGGAAGCCTTTTGAGTTCACCGACTCTGATCATATTTAGACAAGGTCATAGTCAAAGTGGAAGTTCTCTTCTCCCTTCAGAGAAAGTTACCTCCTTCTTTGATGACCTATTCTTTCCACTGGGATCTCACTCGCAGAGATCTTTCATTTAGGTCTTTTTTTTTTTTTTTTTTGAGAGAATGTCTTGGCTTTCCATGCCTATAATACTCTCATGGGCCTTTCAGCCAGATCCGCATGCCTTAAGGGCTGATTCTGAGGCCAGAGTGCTGTTTAGGACATCTGCCATTCTATGAGTCTGCTGTGTATCCCGCTTCCCATGGAGCCAACCCAATTCTAAACAATCACAGGACAAGCTTTAGGACAGCTGACGTCCCTAGTAATAGCAGAACCAACATCATTCGGATATTGATGGTGGTGAGTCTGGATACATTTCCTTAAGGTGCTCTATGTCAGAAATCCAGGAGAGCATCCACAAATCCGATGCCTTGTTTCCATATCACAGAGCATGCATCCAAATAGTAAAGGAAAAAAGACCAAATAAATGACCGGATTTCCATTCAGTACATATTCCCTGAGCAACTACTATGTGCCAAGTGTTAAGTTTATCAAAGTTTCAACATTGCAACTTTGGAGATTGTTCATGTGCCATTATCTGTTGATGATGGCCACCTTCAAGGTGCTTTTTTACAAATTGTTACATTTAATACTCACCAAGCCCTGTGCCAGAGCAGTCTTGGTGCAATGCTGATGCCGGAGGTGATGAGTGTGGTGGGATATATTTCCTATTTAAGAACTTTTTAAAATTAGCTCCAAAATATTGAGGGAATAAATAAAGTCTCACTACCAGGAAGTTCTTGCCAAGCTGGGACAAGAACTCAGATGTTCAAACTCCAGCCCCAGCTTCCAATTCTTTCCACCATGCAGAGTGAAATATTAGCTAGTTTCTGAAGTTCAGTTTTTGGCTTGCTGTGATAAACATGTGTGGAAAGATGAACTAAAAACTTAGGATCTACAAAATCCCGTGGCTTCATGTCTAAGAGCTTAAAACCGACAGCTCTTGAAGTTACACCAATTTTTCCTCTCTAGCTCGCATTCTTCCCTCCTGGCAAGGAAGGCTGGAACGAGAATCAGTCATAAAGGAAATGGCTCACTCTGCCTCACAGATGCATTTCTGTGCCAAAGCTAACTTCTACCTTTATAGCTAATACACGCGAAAACAGACCATTTAGACAGCAGCTCGCTAACGTGCGGTTAACTGGGAAAGTCAGAGGGTTATAACTGCCCCCAAGAAAACGTTATGCTTTTCAAAACAGCTTCGATCTCGCTGGCCTTGCAGCCTCCCATCTGGTCACACTCCAGTCCCCCTGCACACTGCCGCCAGAGTGAGTCTATCCCAAATGCAAATGGGATCGCCTCTCTCCCTAACAGAACATTCTCCATGCCTCCCCGTCGGCTGCAGGAGAAAGCTCAGCTCAGCCCCCTGTGCAGTGCCTGTCCGGACTTGGTCACTGATGACCACTGTGGTGTTCTTGGCCTCCCATGGTGTGTTCCAGAAAAAGCAAATCACAGGGAGCTACAGAACCCCTGAAAGCATTCCCAGGTGGTGCTTCCAGACCTTTGATTATGCTGGTCCGTTGGCAAGAATGTTGCCTCTGCTCTCTTTCCCTGACACACTGTAACTCATCCTTAAGAATTCAGTAAATTAGGTACCCCATCCCTCTGATAGCTCTTTTTATTATGAGCAAGCCAGACAGGGAAAAAAAAAATTATGATATAAATCAGGTCTTTTGATGAGTTTTGCCCCCACCTTGTATCTGAATGTCAACTGATGAGATTTTTCCCCAAAATTTTGCTCAAAAACCCCATGAACACCGGCCCTTTCAGGTTCTGCCTCTCTTGCAGCCCCCCTCCATCCCACTCTGGCTGGAGGTCTCTGACTCTAATAAATCTTGCTTTTAAATCACACACACACACACAAAAATACCTGATCTACAAACACCTGATAGACAAAACTCAGACTGAAACAGGGAAGCCACTTTACGCCTACTTCTATCAAAGCAGGCCCTGATTTACCAGTTTTTCAAAGCAATGTCCAGGGGCTGGTGCTGTGGCGCAGCAGGGTAAAACCCTAGCATGAAGCGCCGGTTCGGGGCCCAGCTGCTCCTCTTCCGATCCAGCTCTCTGCTATGGCCTGGGAAAGCAGTAGAAGATGGCCCAAGTCCTTGGGCCCCTGCACCCACGTGGGAGACCTGGAAGAAGTTCCTGGCTCCTGGCTTCGGCTCTGTGCAACTCCGGCCATTGCAGCCATCTGGGGAGTGAACCAGCGGATGGAAAACTTCTCTCTCTGTCTTGACCTCTCTCTGTAACTCTGTCTTCCAAATAAACAAAAAAAACTTAAAAAAAAAAAGCAATACCCAGTCATCACCATCATCACCATCCTCATCTCCACCACCATTCTAAGCAAGCATTGAGGGTTCACCAGGTTTCAGCCACTGTTATAAGCTCTTTCCATGTCTTTTCCCATTTAATAGCCATAACAGCTCTTCGAGATTTTAAATTAAATAATTTAACAAACAAAATAAGTGCAATCTCCCTAAAAATAGCAGTGCTGAGTGCATAGTAAGAATAACAATGATTTGTTGCTCAATAATTTGTAAAGCTCAATAATTTGTAAAGCTAAATCGGTTAACTGTTCACTCACTTTTAGAAATAGGCTTTCTCTTTAGAACAATTTTCAATGAGGCTGAGAAAATGTGCAGAGTTCACATATATCCTGCTGCCCATTTTTCTCTCTTACGAACATCCTGCATTATTATCTTACACTTGTAATAATTAATGAATCACTGCATATGCATGATTATTAACTAAAGTCCACAGTTCATTCTGATTTCCTTAGTTTTTACCGGACGTCTTTTTTCCGCTTAAGGATCTCATCCAGGATGTCACATCCCATTCAGTTGCACTGTTTCCTATGGCTCTTCTTGTTTGGAAGTGTCTCAGAAGTTCCTTGGTTTTGCTGGTCTTGAGAACTTTGAGGAGCACCAGTCAGGCCTGCTGGATGACTCTGTGCTGGAATTTGATATGTTTCTCATGATCAAGAGAAGGTCATGGGCTTTGAGGAGGAATATCAGAATGGCAAAGTACAGTTTGCATCCTGCCCTAGCAAAGGTAGATACTATCCGTGCTATCAGCACAGCTTACCTCTGCTCACGCTGACCTTGATCCCCTGGCTGAGGTCATACTTGACAGTGAAGAATCACTCTTTTCCCCTTTCCCACACTTTAGTCCCTGGAAGGAAGTCACCATGTGCAGCCCAGACGTAAGAAGGGGGAGTTGTGCCTCCCTCTGCAGAGGCAGAGAAAGTAGACAATTTACTATACTCAGAATTCTGCTACGTGGGAGGTGTGTCCTCCATTTATTAATTTATTCTATCATTTATTTAGAAATATATGAACTCAGACATTTATTTTACACTTCGGGTTTTCATCCAATACTGCATAATGATTTGCTCACATTGTTCCAGCATTAGCCACTGGGAACTCGTTCAACAGGCTCCTGAATTCCTTTGACAGGAGCCCAGCCCTGTGGGCATTGTTAATATGCATGTTTGAACCGTTCTTCGCTTTCTGTGTCAGGCTCATCTTGAGTGCTTCATGCCTTGGTGCTGGAGTTATCCATGTCTTCCAGAGGCCCTGGTCCCATCTATAAGTGCTGGAGAATGGTATTAGAAGCCAAGATGTGGTCCCAGCTGTGCTCATTGTCACTGGACACCACTAGGCCTTCTCAGGTGATAGAACAAACCAAGTGAACAGTACGTGTATGTGCGTGTATGCATATATGTGTGCATAGTAATCACATATAAAAGTACATGTATGTGTGTGTCGCATATACGCATAGTAATCAATATATATGTATATAAAAAGTTTCACTTTTTAAAATTTGTATTTATTTGAGAGGCAGATAAACAGAGGCAAAGAGAGACAGCTCCCATCTGCTGCTTGGCTCCTCAAATGCCTGCCATGGCTGAAGCTGGGAGCTGGCAGTTCACTCCAGGTCTCCCATGTGAGTGGCACAAACCCAACTGCTTGAGCCATCACCACTCCTTCCTGGGATCTGAGTAAATGAAAAGCTGGAATCGAGAGCCAGAACACAAGGAAGCAGACCCAGGCAGTTCGGTGTGAGACACGGGCATCTTACCCAGTAGGCTAAACACCCCTTTCTCTGTGCATACAAGTCTATAACTGTGTCTGTATTCAGCTATACATAAATTCAAACTGATGTCTCCAACGCTAACCCACTACTGCATAAGTCACTCTTCTCCCTTTCCTGATCTGCAAACTTCTATTGCAACAAGGAGAAACCTGACTCCCACCATCTGCCATCCATTTACTTAATTTTTCAATTCCAAGATGCTTGCATAGCAGTATCAAAACTGTAACCTCAAAGCTCTGTGGAAAGTAACTTTATCAAGTTCAGGACGGTGCTTCTGTGAAGTGTCCTTGATCTCATGGACTCTGCTCATCTTCAAAGTTACGTAGATAAACACCTTTTCCTCCACCTCCTTCATTGAAGTCGTTTTATATATCTGCAATACAGTTGTCCCCATTCGCCTTCCTTCCTGGGATTTTCCTGGTTTCCCAAATGATTTTTAGAGACTTATTTTATTTATTTGAAAAGCAGAGTGACAAAGAGAGAGAGAGAAATCTTCCATCCACTGGTTCACTCTCCAGATGGCCACAACAGTTGGGGCTGGGCCAGTCCAAAGCCAGGAGCCGGGAACTCCATTTGGGTCTCCCATGTGGGTGGCAGGGGTCCAAGTATGTGGGCCATCTCCTGCTGCCTTCCCAAGTGCGTTAGCAGGGATCTAGATGAGAAGTAGAGCATCTGGGACTAGAACCAGCAGTCTCACATGGAACGTCAGCGTCGAAGGCAGAAGCGGAACCCAGCACCGCAATGTCAGTTCCCAACATGATTTTTAGTGCCTATACAATCAGATACATTCCATATGCATCACAATTCTATTATTCATTCATTTTTCATCATCTGTTCATTTCCTACTCATTCATTGTTTACAACACTCCTTTTCCTCAAACACATACACACGCAAATAAGTTGAATTAAATAACATTTAGAAAGTGATGCTAACATAATGTTTAAAGTTAAAAAAGAAAGATCAGAATCTATAGAGAGGAAAGACATATGTAACAACCCCCTCAGGGTGATCATGAGACAATTACGGCAGCAAACAACTGAAGTTAGCTCAGAGACCCCCACCCCGCCCCCGGCTACCAAACTGATAAAAGGAACAGGACCAAAAAAAAAAAAAAAGAACAGGACATGGAACTTGTTGGAACAAAGAAAATCTTTTCTGGTTCTGAACCCTGAGGGGCAGTTCTGAGGATGATGTGGGACTACCTGCTGAGACTGACTTTGGGTCTACATGCAGACTCCCAGATGGAAGGTATCCAGGTTTTAAGTCCAGGGGAAGTTACATTTCCGATTCCTCATGGCTGCTCCAGGAATAACTTCCCCTGGAATTTCACTGCACACATGGGATTCCCTGGTAGCTTTGGGAGGGATCCTTCACCATCACCATCACCATCACCATCACCATCACCATCACCATCACCATCACCATCCCATCATCGTGCAGGACACTCAATGTTTGTGACGGGAATGCTCTGCTCAGTATGATCATTTTCAAGCCCAGCTGGGAAGTCTGTTCCCAAGTGAGTGGGCATTCCCACTGTGCAGACAAGCAAGCTGAGGACCCGAGACGGCTTGATTTCCTGGGGCACACAGTGAGGACGAGAGGCTCAACCCAAGAATCCTGTTTCCCCTTCTGGCCTGACTGATTCTCGCCGTTTCCATCCTTTGACTACTTTGGGGACAGCACCCCACGTAAGGTGAATCTCAGGTGACAATCTGGAGGTAAGTGCACGTGCCCTCTTGACTTCAGTTCCTCTGAGAATCCATGCCAGAGTGCCCGAGATGTCGATATGGACTTTAAAACTCCCCTTGGTGGGCTGGACCCAGAGAGCCTTTCAGAGTTGTGAAGAGTTCTTAGACTTTCCTGGGAAAAGAAAGCAGACGATTTGTCTTGCTTGCCCGAGGCATTCATAGGAAGCCATGCTTTCTCACTGTCTAGCATTATTTTTTAAATATTGAGAAACTAAGAATATCTGTTGACCGGCCAGAGCAGTCAGTGTTCATTCTGTTCCTTCTTTATTTACATGTAACCATGCAGAGATTTTTTAAAGATATTTCCAGAATATCTTTTGAAAATCAGATTTACATTTCCTATACTCAAAATAGAATCATTATTTTTTGTGTGTTTAATAGTTTTCAAAATATTCTTCATTGAACATGATTACAACAAAATAAGTAAACACTTTAGTGTTTGTAATAGGAGAGCCTTAGATCTATAGAATGCAAGATTACCCAGTAAAACTCATTAACTCAGTAAACATTTACTGGGTATAAACTATATATCAGGAATTGGAATAAATGATATTGATCCCTGTCTTCAGGAAGCACAATATCTAATTTAAGAATCTGCCTCTGGGGAATCTGAATTGAGGAGGTTTTCATGGTATAAAAGGCAGATCATTAAATCCTTCCTGCTCCAATGAGTGGAGTCCTAGAGGTGAGGACCACTGAACCAAAGCCTTCAGGCTGGAGAAGAAGCAAGAAGATTCGTACATTAAGGGAGGAAGGGCAGGAGCAAGAAACCTGCTACCCTGCTGAATTTATTCAAATTTTGCAAAAATCTTACCCAAAAACATCCACTTTGTGTGTCCATGTAATCATCACCAAATAATGTATGTGGAAGGACAATTTTACAGACCCCCTATCCCTTCCAGATCAAGAACTTAGTAATGTAGATCCAATCATCCCAATATTGTAGAGTAGAAAATCGAGGCCTACAGATCTAACCACCCTAGGCAAGGCTGGAGCTTGGATGGCAGTCACACGCGGGGCTGGATACGCATCTAGGACTGCCTCACTTGGCAAAAAGAAATCCTAGGCCACTCCTCTGTGCCACATCCCATCAATCAAAGTTGGTTAGATTGATCATAGAACCGTTTACAACAGCATGCCACTGAGGAAGGACAGAAGGAGGAAAGAAGGAAGGGAAGGAGGGAGTGTGGGAGAAAGGATTGGGGGAGGCGGGTAGGTGGAGACGGGGTGGGGGTGGGGAATCGCCCTTAGATGTCCTTTCCAGGAGAAAGAAGCGGCTAACTCCTCGTTTACCCTGAATGGGCTTCTAATAATCCTTGTATTACATGGCCACTCCATAAGAACAAGATGTAGCAAACTAAAATTGAGGGTACCTTGAAACTGTTTACTTTTTAATATTACCTTTAGAATATTTACTGAATGTATAGCGCCATGAAGGAAAATCACAAGACTTGGTACAATAACTTGGAGTCAGTAAAGGTGAAAGGAGAGGGGACTAGAACTGGGACAGAGAGAGAGAGAGAGAGAGAGCGCTGAGAGTAAAGTGTCTCCCAACAGTAGCTTCTTCCTTTCTTCCAGGTGGCCACCCACAGAGAAGGCACCAAGGAAACTGATACCACAACCTCACTTTCTGCTCCTCCCTAATCAGCTCCCCACTGACCAAACCCAGCTGGAAGCCATAAGATAAGGGACCTCCCTGGAAAAGGCCTTAGAAGTCAGGGACAGAGCAGAGAGAACAGGGAAGAATGTGGCTGGAGAGGAAGATAGAAAAGAGCCATCTCAGCCACTGTATTCGACATGGAACAACTTAGCTTAGCATCAAAACCACACCCCCACCCCATCAGAAGCAATCTCGTGATCCTTCTCAGCACATCACTCCCAGCAGTTTGGAGTAAACGACTGGACTTCACGTGGACGATGGGACACATTTTCCATCCTCACCCAAACCCAAACCTGGACCTTGTTCTTTGTCCTTTGTGGGTTGGTTTGATCATTTTAATACCAGTAAGACCCCACTGTTTTGTGAAAAGTAATCTTCACGTATATTTGCTAGACCTGCAGCATCCACTTAAGTGCCCAGGGGCCAAGAAGGCCATCAGGCAAAAAGCACTGAACTTGGTGTCAGAAATCTTCTGTTACAGGCCGGCGCCGCGGCTCACTAGACTAATCCTCCGCCTTGCGGCACCAACACACCGGGTTCTAGTCCCGGTCGGGGTGCTGGATTCTGTCCCGGTTGCCCCTCTTCCAGGCCAGCTCTCTGCTGTGGCCAGGGAGTGCAGTGGAGGATGGCCCAAGTGCTTGGGCCCTGCACCCCATGGGAGACCAGGAGAAGCACCTGGCTCCTGCCATCGGATCAGCGCGGTGCGCCGGCCGCGGCGGCCATTGGAGGGTGAACCAACAGCAAAGGAAGACCTTTCTCTCTGTCTCTCTTTCTCACTGTCCACTCTGCCTGTCAAAAATAAAAAATAAATAAATAAACAAACAAATAAATAAATAAATAAAAAGAAATCTTCTGTTACTAAGTGCACCGGGTGGCCGTGGACAAGTCCTGAGCCTTACTGGGACTGCAAATCTCACCTGTGTGAAATAGGAATAGTGACGTTACTTCTCAGGATGGTGCCCACAATGAAAAAAATACACCCAAAAATTGTGTTGCAGGATTCACCAGAAGGTAACAGTTTTTGTGGTTCTTATGTTCTGACCTAAAGAGCAAGCTCTAGATCAGAAAAACAAAAACAAAACAAATAACAACAACAAAATACCTGTGAGGCATGAACCAGGAACTTCCCAGATTGGTGACAATGAACAAAAGTCATAGTCTTTCCGAATTTCAGTTTTCTTACCTATGCAATGATGATAACTGGAGCACCCATCTCACAGACTTTCATTTCATTGTTTTCAACAAGGCAACCACAGTTATTTGTTATTACTGCATTGCATGGATGCAAAGGATGCTTCAGAGCCGTGTGGAAGTCCATAAGTTATTCAGTAATCCAATAGCACCTGCTGTGCCTTGTCAGCCTCTAAAATTTACAATTTAGCTGGAGACAGACGCCAACAGGCACCTCTAGGTCTCCCGAGACCACAACCACAAACAAAATTAAATTCCTGAGTGCTGCTGCCTCCAAACATTCCCTTGCTGTTGTTTTCCTAAGTATCAATGACCTTTTCTTTAGTCTTATGATTTTTGATGTGGACAGATAGAAATCACTGGCCTGAAGTCAGCGAGATCAGTACATCCCCCATTTCTAGCCTACTTGGCTGACCCTATAAGGCACTTAGTTTATTTGGATTTCATCAAATTCCTCTGAGAGGAAGAAAGGGAGAGAGAGACAAAGAAAGGGAAGGGAGGAACGAAAGAAGGTAGGATGGAAGGAAGATTTATACCAGACAACACACTGAAAGTTTCCATTTCAAAGACTAACCTCGCTCACCACTCTCTTGAAGCAAATCCACTCAATTCTGGAACTCCTCCATGACTCTCACACAATGCAGGTGTTGAGCAAGCTCAAAAGAACACAAGCATCAAGTACCTACTGTGTGCCTGCTGCTGTTAGACAAAAGCTCTCTCCTACAATGAATTTCCCCAACCACCTACAGGCATCTGCCCCCAGCCAGGTGGCTGTAATTCACATGAATCCCACCTTTGTGCACCCCATGGGAGACCAGCATAAGCACCTGGCTCCTGCCATCGGATCAGCGCGGTGCACCGGCTGCAGCAGCCATTGCGGGGTGAACCAACAGCAAAGGAAGACCTTTCTCTGTCTCTCTCTCTCACTATCCACTCTGCCTGTCAAAAAAAAAAAAAAAAAAGTCTGAAGCGGACTTAAGGACGACCAGATTCCCTATGAGCCACACTGCTGAGCTTTGACTCATACTTAATTTCCTAAAATGGGCAGAGGGATTAGTTGAACGAAGGACCGGACCGTGGCATGAAGTGCGACACGTGTGTCTGCTTGGCTAATGTCTGCTCTTTTTCCAGTTGTGAGAGTTAACGCCAGTCCAGGAAGGGAGCAGCGGGAAGAGAGCTGTTTGTGCTCCTTAGAACAACAGGGGGGAATGTGCTGTAGATAAGAGGCACCCGAGTGTTTTCGGCTTTTGGAAACGGGAATAGAATTGCTATATACATGGCAGGAGAGTCTGGCTGGTCCTCCCCCTGCCCCCATCTCTTAATTCTGATTACTGCCAGACTGAGCTCTATCTATCTGCTCTGAACACTTTTGCAAGAAAGGTTTCATTGTGCAGGAGGGGGGCTGGCCTTATTTTACCAGTAGAAGAGCTATTATCTTGCAACAGCTGTTTATAGTTAGCTGCAGCCCATACTTAAAGCCTGAACGCTGGAGCCTTATTTAGTGCCTGTGGACTTGCAGTGAACAGAGTCAGGATTAACTCTTTCTTCTCCCTGTAAGTTAATGGGTTCAATAGAGATTTGGATGGAGGGGTCTACCGACAAAGAGGGGGAGAGAAGAGGGGTTCTGGAGTGTGCAAGTGGGGACTAACAGCTGTTCCTAATTAGGATAAACACGGAGGGTTCATGTTATGGGTGTGGGGGGCACCTTGCATGATTTTTTCCATTAATCTCCAACATGGGCATGATTCTGCCCATTTAGCAGGTGAGGAAAAGGAGACCCAGGCAGTAGAAAGCAGGAGTTCAAATCCACATAAATCCAGCAACAGAGCCACAGTGTTAACCCCTAAGTCACACCAAATTATGCTCCGATTAATTCAGAAGCACTAAGAAAATACCCTCTGTGCCTGCCTAGTGTTGGTCTACTGTATCATGGGGGGAGGGTCTCCACTCCAGGGGGTTCCCCGAATGCCCAGAAGGGTGAGCAAACACTCATGGTGCGCTGAGGGTAGAAGAGGGCCCAGGAAATTCTCACTCTAGGGTGGAGAGGGTAGCTCAGAACCCAGAGGAACTGGGGGAGGGACAGAGTTGACCTACATGGGGCTGATTTCATAAGAACACAGCTACTGAAACACATACAAGCATGCATACCTATATACATACTATACATACCTATGTGTCTATATACATACTGTATATACCTATGTGCCTATATACATACTGTGCATACCTATGTGTCTATATACATACTGTACATACCTATGTGTCTAGGAGAGGCTGGACCAGGGAATTGATTCAGAGGGGGTGGCCAGGGACAGGACCCACAGCCTACACTTGATTCTATAATGACGGGCACCCGGGTCCCCAGATCTGCACTTTGCAAAAGTCACTCCGGCTGCGGTGGGAACAATGTTTTGGAGGGGGCCAAGGAAAGGTAAGAAAAGGGGGCCGGCACTGTGGCGTAGCAAGGAAAGCTGCTGCCTGTGACCCCAGCACCCCATATAGGTATTGTTTCAATTCCCGCCTGCTTCACTTTCTGTCCAGCTCCCTGCTAATGCTCCTGGGCAAAGCAATGGAAAATGGCCCAAGTGCTTGGACCCCTGCACCCATGTGGGAGACCTGAAGAAGCTCCTGGCTCCTGGCTTCAGTCTGGTCCAGCCCTGAGTGTTGCAGAAAACTGGGAAGCGAACCAGAGGATGAAATCAATCTGTCTGTGTGTGTGTGTGTGTGTGTCTAGCACTGACTTTCAAATAAATAAGTAGATCTTTTTCAGAAAGGAAAAGTTAAAACACTGTAATCATCTCAGACAAGGGACAGGGCCAGGGCTATGGAGGGGAGCAGCTAGGACTGGATTCAGGAGGCGTGGCGCAGGCGGAATAAGCGCAAGTGGTGCTCAATTCCCCGGGCTCTCTAAAGACTACAGAGAGGTTAAATTTTCCAGCAGGAAGTTGGAAGGAACATTGCTCAAACCGCTAACTCAACCCCAAATGACATACATTCCTGAGGGTTACAGGGCTAACTAGTGGAGTTGGGGGCGGCAGTGACACCACGCCAACACACACACACACACACACACACACACGCACACACGCACACAGGCTGTCATTTTCCCAGCATGTCTGGGACTCTTGTTCTCCCTTTGTTTGATTCCAGCATCTTTCCTGATGACAAAGGGAAACCGGAGATTTTGAAACCCTTTGTGGAGCACAAAGAGAGGCGGAGTAAGAGAGTTGGAGGGGGGCGCCGCTGGCCCACGCCGAACTTTATTCTCTGCCTTGGTACCCAGCAATTCGCGGTGGGAGGGAGAGGGGCTTGCCAAGGGCTCTGTGTGGCTGGGCTAAACTAGAAGAATATGTAACGTTCAAGATGAAAAGGCAGCCCTCTCCGCGGAGAACAGGGTTGGGAGCTAATGGAGCTTGGGAAAGGGGAGCTCACAAAGAAAAGTGCTTATTTGCAAACTTGCTTCTCTGCAGCAAATGCTCCCAGGACCTCTGGCAAAAGGAATTCCTGGACACGGGCCTTTCCATTGAGCTGTTAGTGATCTCTCCAGGCTCCCCTGCGCAGCCAATCCATGGTGCAGCCCAAGCGGGACTCGCCGAGAGGTTGCGCCAGTTTAATTCCAACGCCCTTCACAAATGAACCCAAGTCTTAGAACGGCAAGGCTGGAAACCATGTTACTTCCCTTCTACTGAGAGATTTTCAGATGGCCGTGTCAGACAAACCAGGGAAAAGGGCATGCTAAGACGGCGGCGAGCGCCCCCTATGGTGGGCGTGACCCTGTGGGAGAGCGTGGGAGATGCTGACTGTCACATGACGGTCTGCCCTGGGAGTTACTGCAACTGAGTCAGATTCACTGCCGTGGGCAAACGCACGAAGGCCACATCTGCACTGTACCCAGACTCCCATTGCCAGACCCGAAAACAGAACAAAATGCTTCCCTGGAAAGCAAGGGGGTTAGTCACGGCTCCCCAGAGAACAGAAATGGGTATCCGCCTATGTTCTTTGTATCTGTCTATCTGTATGCAGTCATACCCTGGGTAACAGTGGTTTGGTCAACAACAGACCGTATATAAGACAGCGTATCGGGGGTGATGGGATGGTGTCATTACAGCCATCTCAGTTTGTGACAGTGCACTCTGATGTCTGCACGACCATGAAACCTCACAAGGGTGCATTGCTTAGAATGCAGCCCACCCCTTCGCTGCTGCATGGCTGTAGGTATGAGTACCACCATCCTCAGGGACTCGGTTCCAGGACCCTCCTCATGTACCCCACCGCACCGAAAAATTCACAGGTTCTAAGGTCCCTCACAAAGAGTGGGGTCGAGGGCAGGCGCTGCGGTGCCGTGCGGTGGGTTATGCCACTCGTGGGATGACAGCATCACATTTTGAAGTGCCCGAGATTAAGCCCAGCTGTGCTTTCAATCCAGTTTCCTGCTAGTGCGCACTCTGGGAGGAAGAACGTGGCGGCTCAAGTCCCTGGGTCCCTGCCGCACGCCCGGGAGACCTGGATGGAGTTCCAGGCTCCTGGCTTCAGCCTGGCTCAGCCACGGCTCTTGCAGGCATTTGGAGAGTGAACCAACGGATAGAAGAATCAGTATCTCTCTCTGTCTCTCTCTCTCTCCCTCCCTTTCCTCCCCCTCCCCCCAATAACTCTGCCTGCGGAATAAATAAAAATAAGAAAATAAACTTTAAAATATGGATATATATGCATATAACCTTCATGGTCATCCTGATATTTTAAATCATCTCCAAATTATTTGTATACCTAATTTAATGTAAATGCTATGTAAAACAGTTGTTATTCTGTGTTGTTTAATGGATAATTATGTGAAAAAATCTGTACATGTTCAATATAGGTATAATTTTTTTCAGATTTTTCAATCTGCAATTGACTGAAGCCAGGGATGGACAATTAGTGGATAGAGAGGACTGACCATACACACACACACAGAAACCTACACAGACATACACACACATACAGAGATACACACAGGCACACACATACATACAGACACACACATATGGAAGTACTTCAAATAGTTCATGGAAAGAGGTTTACATGATATATTTATTTTGGGGCAAAATATTTTAAATCCATGCATGGTGCTTTCATAATATCTAACTTGCATGAACTTTTTGAAGACCCTTTTGTATGGATGACTTTCACATTTTTTGCACTGAAATAAATTCATCTTTTATTTCTGCTGTCCAAAACTTTTGAAGTATTGAAGACAGAGAGAGAGATCTTACAGAATTGTCTTACAGGATTGTGTGTGCTGGCAGATCTGACATGGCTAGGGCAGGCCAGCAGGCTTAGTTGCACATTCCAGAGAACAGCAATCTGAACACCCAGGCGGAGCTCTCAGCATTGCAACCTTGAGGAGTTTCCTTTTGAGAAGCCTTAGTCTCTGATCTAAGGGCCTTCAGCTGATTGGGTGAGGCCCACGAACACTAGGGCCTCACTAAGGTAATCTTTCCTGAAAGTCTCCTGATTTAAATGTCAACTACACATTAAAAAAGAAAGAAAGAAAGAAAGAAAGAAAGAAAGACAAAAAAGGAAATAAATGCCTGTGTGTATCAGTAGTGCTGCAAATATAGCTTCATCAAAATTTGTTTTCTTTCTGTCAAACCGATGGTTAAGAATGTTATACTACTGTAGTGTTAATGATCTGTGCTTATTTTAGTTTACTGGATCTGGGTGAAATGGTCATCTTGCCATTTGACTGTTGTTTATAGTCCTTATGTATATTCCACCAAACTAGGATCTTTTTACTTTTTACTTGTTGATCTCTCAATTTAGTGGAACATTAAGCCCTTGATGGTAATATAAAATTTAAAACATTTTTCTCAAAAATTAGGAAGAGAGAGAGAGGAAGGCAGGCAAGTAGGCAGGCAGGAAGGAAGGATGGAAGGGAG